ACCTCTCTATCTGCCGCTCTCTCATGAGGGCTGGCTTCTCCATCCTCCTGTGCCAAATCCTACTGGAGGGGGTTGTCTTCGGCACTGTCCGGGGTGTTATTATCTCCCGTGCCGGAATCGCCGTTTTTGCTTTGGCGGGATTTAGAGCGGCGCCGCTGACGCCAGCACTTAGGCTGCTTCTTGGAGGGGTCATCCTCCGTTGTTCCATCGCCATTCCCTTCTTTTGGGGTGTCCACCATGTATATGTCCTATGACGAGGTGGCCTTCCAGTGCCCTATAGACACTGGTTCTTGGTCGTATCCTGCATCGGCGTCCATACCGTCGATGTCTTCGGAGTCAAGTCGAGCATGTTGGTTAAATCATCGACAGTGGCTACGAAGTGGGTGGTGGGTGGGCTTTGAATCTCTTTGTCGTTCGCATCCCAACCTTGCTGACCATAGTCCGGCCAGGGCTCTCTTGATAAAGAGAGAGACTTTAGTGAATTCAGAATGTCGCCGAAGGGCGAGTGCTGAAAGATGTCCGTGGCGGCGAACTCCATGATCGGCACCCAATCGGGTTCGATCGGCAGGGGCGCGGAAGGTTCGGAGTTCGGAGAGGAGTCTGGCACCTTGGAGTCACGAGCTTCGCAAAGGACAAGGCTGGTGTTCGGCTCGATCGCCGTAGAGATTGCAGCCCCCGAGGCGGTGTCCAGCCACCCGTCCTTGATTGGCGCAGTCGGCTCCGAGCTAAGGGTCGGAGCGGACACTGGGGCGGCCTCCTGGGCACTGTTTGGCGGCAGAGCTAGATCATGCCCATCGTGACAGTGCGGCGCGCTCGGCTGTGGCTCGAACCCGTTGAAGATCAAGTCTCCGCGGATGTCAGCCGTGTAGTTCAAACTTCCAAATCTAACCTGATGGCCAGGGGCGTAGCTTTCGATCTGCTCCAGATGGCCAAGCGAATTGGCCCGCAGTGCAAAGTTGCTGAATACGAAGATTTGTCCGGGGAGAAAAGTCTCACCCCGGACCGCATCGTTGTTGATGATCGGAGGAGCCATCGGGCCTAAAGATGACGATACAAAGGAACTCTCAATGAAAGCACCAATGTCGGTGTCAAAACCGGCGGATCTCGGGTAGGGGGTCCCGAACTGTGCGTCTAGGCGGATGGTAATAGGAGACAAGGGACACGATGTTTTTACCCAGGTTCGGGATGTCTCGATGGAGGTAAAACCCTACTCCTGCTTGATTAATATTGATGATATGGGTAGTACAAGAGTAGATCTACCACGAGATCAGAGAGGCTAAACCCTGTAAGCTAGCCTATGATATGATTGTTGTTCGTCCTACGGACTAAAACCCTCCGGTTTATATAGACACCGGAGAGGGCTAGGGTTACACAGAGTCGGTTACAATGGGAGGAGATCTACATATCCGTATCGCCAAGCTTGCCTTCCACGCCAAGGAAAGTCCCATCGGGACACGGGACGAAGTCTTCAATCTTGTATCTTCATAGTCCAGGAGGCCGGCCAAAGGTTACAGTCCGGTCATCCGGACACCCCCTAATCCAGGACTCCCTCAGTGAGCTTAGGGACAGATAAAAGATTACGAGTCATCGAGGGAACCCGGAAAACATTATGAAGATGGATCTGCCTAGAGGGATGACTAGTTAAAAGAGATGCTTGGCCAATGTGAGAGATAGGCATACCTACACCATTGGCGGTGTGAACCTGATCGTGCCCGTAATAGGGCTGGCAGGTGGAGAGTTTGTTGAGCTCGTTCATCATGTGATCTATGGCGCCGGTGTCCATGTGCCAGGCTGGATCAATAGGATAGGACGACGTGTACCCCTGGTCGACGCGCGGGTCCTTGCCCTTGGCGACGATGTGTGCAGCCGAGGCGGCGGTGGGGAGACCAAAGTCTGCCATCGCAAATTGGCGCTCGTTGCCCTTGCCGTCATTGCCGATGCCAAGGAAGCTCCTCTAAAAGAGGCGGTGACACTTGGAGGCGACATGGCGTTCACGACCACATAGCTGGCATACCTCCCGAGTGTTAGTGCCCCCACCCAAGGTCGATGCAGGGGGCGGGGCGGGCTTGCCAGATGACGGGGGCAGGGGGGCGCTGGCCACGAGAAGCCCAGAAGGCCGCCGGCTGTGATGTGATGGTGGCGGAGGAGCGACGAGCCTCGACGCGCTGCTCGGTGAAGAGAAGTCGTGAGTAGAGCTCATGTGGGGGCATCGCTGGCTTGGCGTTGTGAACAGCCTCGACGAGATTGTCGTAGTCGGCGTCGAGGCCTTTGATGACAAAGCCAGCAAACTCCTCGTCGTTGAGCGACCGACCGATAGAGGTGAATGTGTCCGCCAGCACCTTCATCTTGTTGAAGTAGGTCGTGGCGGAGGAGTCCCGCTTCTTAATGTTGGCGAGCTCGCTGTGAAGGGCCATCGAGCAGGAGGTAGAGACCTGGGCAAAGGCATGCTTCAGGGTCGTCCAAGCATCCATGAAGGTGGTGGCGAAGAGACAGAGACCTGCGACCCCGTCGCCGAGGGAGACCTGGATGACAGAGAGGATCGCCTGGTCCTGCTGCACCCACATACGGTGTTTCGGGTTAATGGTCGGGCCGTGTACGGTAGGGATGACCTGCGGAGGTACCGGTAGCGAACCATCCACAAACCCTAGGAGAGACCGGCTGCGGAGCAGCGGTAGGACCTTGGCGCGCCAGAACAGGTAGTTGTCCGGCGTGAGTCTGATGGCGATCAAGTTGTCGAAGTGGAACGGCCCGGCGGGCGTGATGACGCCAGCAGCAGCGGCAGCGGTCGGCGGAGCCACGACAGGAACCACAGCCGCGACCGATGCCGCGTGTGGCGGCGCGGGAACGATCGGGATCATGGCCGCGGGTGGTGCTGTAAGCGAGGCTGCAGGTGGCTCCGCGGGCAGCGCCTCCCCCGAGGTCGCCGGTATGACGGCGAGTGTCTAGGAGGATCCAGAGGGGCCCATCGCGGACGGCGGCAGCGCGACTGGTGCTGAGGCCGTCGCGGGCGGTGACGGCGGGATCAGCGCTGAGGACATGGAGCCGACGGCGGTGATGCCGAAGAACCGAGGCACCGACGGAGCCAGGGGTGAGGTGGGAGGTTGAGGAGGGTGGCAAGTGACGCGGGGATTGACCGGGAGCTGGCGGCGCCTGAAGCGAAAGAGGTCATGGCGCCGGCGGCAGCATCCCTAGGGTTTAGGGTTTTGGTGGGGCGGCGGCGGCGGGTGGAGTAGAGGACCTAGGTTAGACTCGATACCATGTAAAACGTAGGTTTTGGGGAACTGACTCAACCCTCTATGGGGTGGCCTATCACACACATATATATAATGATGTCATACAAGTTCTATACCAATATGGTATGGATTACACAATAAGGCTACAGTAGAGGTCGAACAGCTAGATCCCATTTAGGCCCTTAAAATATATTTTTGCTCCTCTAAAGTATTTTAAGAGATCGGCTAGAGATGCTCCAAGGGCTGCAATGGTACCTCACGTGCATGGTAGAAAATTCAGACTCAAGACTTTTTTGCTGTTTGGAAGAAGAGACAAATTGTTCATGATCAGTGTGTACATTGGAATAACCTCTATAATAAGCCAGTGTACAAGCTTATAGTCACCTTAGTCGATCAAGGAGCTCATTACAAGTGTTCCAAGCCTCAAAAACAGGTACCAGTTTCTCTCGTGGAAGTAATGCAAGCAAACCCGCGCGTCCAGGTCTGGAGGCCAAGCCCCCACTTGCTGCAATCATATTTGGAATGAATCTACCATAGCCTTCAGGATCTTTTGCGACGACTGCCACTGCTTGTCGCTGGCGCTCGCGACGAAGAGCACCACCGTGCTCCCCTTGGCCGTGGCCTTGGCCAGATTGTGGGAACCCGTCAGTGCCAGTGGAGTCTCCAGCACATAGCTGTAGTACTGCATCACAATAATTTATGCCCATGCATCAGGAATTCAGGTTTCGGCAACACCATCAGTAAGTTGACTGATAAACTTACAGTTAGGTCGCCGATCTTCTCGACAGAGGTCTCGATGATCTCCTCGGGTTCCAAGGTGTTGCCGGTGACGAAGGGCCCCAGGGAGGCGATCAGCTTCTCGGGGCTGCCGATGTCCTCGATGGTGGCGTTCGGCCGGTTGGTCAGGCGGATGAGCGGCGAGGCCACCACCTGCACTTTGCCCTGCCTCTCGTCCTCGAATTTCACCTCCACCCATGGCTCCGCGCACTTGGGCTGGCAGTAGTTGCCGGACAGTATGTTGGCCACTCGCAGCTGCTTCCAGGTGGGCGGTAGGATGAACTCGTAAGGTTCTACATTGCCTGAATTTCATGAGCAAAACTGGACTCAGCTGATGAATCAACAGGGTGCATCAGATTGCAAGATTGGTACTAGAAAGTACAGCAAGAATCGAGTGATCACCAGCCCGGAGGGCAGGGGTGTCCTTGGTGGTGGCCTTGAAGAACACGAAGCCCGGGCTGGACGGCGCCGGCGGCAGGTACTTGCCGGCCTCGACCTCGCGCGCCCCTACGGGCAACGTTGTCGCCGAGAACAGCGCGCCGAGTGCTGTTCCCACCACCAGCTCCCTCCTGTGACTGACAACCGCGAGCGGCGCCGGCTGCGTGGCAGCGGCCGCGTTGTCCACCGACACAGCGTGGGGAACAGAGGAGCGCGTGGTTACCGACGCGACCGGCAGCCGGAGTGTAGGCCGCAGGAGCGGGGAGAAGACGGAGGAGGAAGAAGCCATGAGCGCGCGAGGGCCACGGGTTCGCGCGCGCGGGGTGGGTCGGGAGAACGGCCACTCTTATCCAGACGAGTGTGATATTTGGTCTCGTCGACGCGCTCGCATTTTTGGCCTCGATGTGGCGAGCTTGTGTACGTGTACGTGTACGCGGACGCGGCTGAGCAGCGCCCCCTCAGTCAGTTAGCACGTCGAGGATAAGGTGGGATAAAGGGAGCCAGAGGCGCGGGTGTGCGGCCGAGCAGCAACGGTGGAACTACTCGGCAACCATGGCGCCTGCAGCCCTGTCCGCCCCGGTCCTTCGCGTCTCTCCCCGCTCGGCCGGGACTACGGCCACCGCCGCGCCCGCCGGCGGTGTCCGCTTCGGCCAGACGGCCTGCCTGCACTCCGGCCACTCTGGTACTTTTGCTTCTGCTCCATGCTCTTGTGACAATGAGCTGCACGAATCCAGTGAGCAGATGGATTTATTAACAAACTGATCTTGTTATGATCTCCGGAAGCCCAAGCTGTGCTGGGATCGAACGCGCTGCTGCTGAGGCCCGTGGGGCAGAGGAGGCGGTCGGCGCTGAGAAGCAGCGTGGATGACTCCAAAGCCACGGATGACAAGGTGAGCACAGCATGCACTGCGTCCCGAAATCCTCGGCGACTCGTTCGGCCTTCCACGACACGCTGGAGCTAACCAGGCGATTCGCCCGCCCGCTTGCGTTTCCGCAGGTGGAGTTCGGGTACTCGAGGAAAGACGTGCTGCTGATCGGCGTCGGCGTCACCCTCCTGGGCTACGGCCTCAAGTCCGGCCTCGAGGTGACCTCCTCTTCATTTCTCTAGTAGCAAAACCCGGCAGCGTCTCAATTTGACATCGATGAAGAAGAACCCGTCTGTTTTTCACCTGAACCTGATCACAAACCCTGTTCCTGACCGCGCGCAGTTCCTCGGCGTCGACCCCCTGCAAGCCGGCAACGTGGTCCAGCTGTTCATCGTGCTCGGGATGACGGTGGGGTGGATCTCCTCCTACATGATCCGGGTGGCCAACAAGGACATGACCTACGCCACGCAGCTCAGGAACTACGAGAAGCAAGTCATGGAGGTGAGCTAGTGACCCTTTTTTGTCACTCTGGCACGTTCAACTGTATGCATAAACTTGTGAGTTGTCAGTTGTGACTGAGTGCCACCATTAACTGTTTTCGTTGCAGAAACGGCTGGAGAGCCTGTCGGAGGCGGAGCTGCAGGTGCTGCTGGAGCAGGTGGAGGAGGAGAAGGAACGCCTGCCGCCGACGAGGAGGGATCAGGGTATCACCATCAACAGGAAGATGGAGGATCAGACCACTGCTAACTAATAGCTAGAACACCTCGATCATGATACTAGCCCAGTACACTGTTAGGATAGCTTTGCATCGATTGATTATGGGTTTTCCTTTGTTATAAGAACTCTGTAGCACAATACTAGTAGTAGTGCTCGTAGCAGCAGCACTGAGTTATACTCCGATCTCCGAAAAATAGTACCGAGATTCACATGGATGAACGCGATACATAAATCAACATGACAACAAAACTCAAGCATTGTCGACACAAGAATCGCTTGAAAAATAATGAACCAGCACCACTATGTAGAAAACTGCTGTATATACAGCCAAAACTGGCTCCGAGAGATCACTTAATACCCGAGCTTTGGTAGACATACTTAAACATTGTCAAGTAACTTAGGAACGGGACGACTTGGCCTGTTTTGGTTGGTTGGAAGTTA